AATAGTGTATATATATATATATATATTTTTTTTTTTTTTTCTCCTCTATTATACATTTTCATATATATATATATATTAACAGAATAATTAAAATCACTAATAAAACTTTTAATTCAAAGCAAATAATGCAATGGTTAATGCAACAAAAATTAATTAGTCTTTAAATAACTACATTTTAAATGTAGTTAATACATAGATTTTAATGTGGAAAATTAGTTTGGGCCCTAACAGAATGGAAAAACACTATTTTGGAAAAAGATGAATTCACCAAAAAAAGAAAAGAAAAGAAAGACTAGTCTCTGGTAGCTGAAGAGGCGAGTTGAGCAGGTCTGACCTCTCTGTGAGTGCTGGCTGGTAACACTGGGATGGTCTCGTCCACCGTCGCCAGCAAAGTCCTGAGCGCCAGTCCAACATCCTGAGAGGAGACACCAGAGACACCCATCAAACACACGTCACACAGAGACCGCCGTCATGAGACTATCTCAGCATGCCCTGCTCCTGACCTTCACCATGGGGACGTACTCCTCGGGCGGCGCGGGCTGGATGCGGCTGGACATCTCGATCACGGCCTTCACCAGCCCCGTCACGTTCTCATACACCTTATCACTGGAGCGGTCCAGGTTTGCTGTGGGAGGAGGACTGATCTCCTGAGGCTGGATCTGAGAATGAAACACAGGTCTGGATCAGCAGCTCCACAGAGAAAAATGCTTCCCACACTTTTACAATGAATGTCCATGACTTCTCCAAGATTATCCTCATGCTTATCATTACTGGACATGGATTTTATTTAGAAATAGAACAGATTTGAATTATTAGGTTTAAATGATTATACCGAAAGTTCAAAGAAGATCTACATTAGCACTTACAAAGCTCAATGCTGAAATATATATTTTTTAAACTCATTTCCATTTCATAATTTTTTTTTTGCTTACTCATTTTCATGATTTTTCCAGACTTATAAATAACAAATATAGAATTTGCCAGGTTAATTAGAACGTTGAATATCATTAGAATGTTGAATATTTGTTTGAAGAAAAATGATAAAAGATAAAGATAAAAATTCTGAATAAGATAAAACAATCAGAATAAAACTGGAATTTTTGTAAATCTATAATCATTCACAGTTCTCTGATGTTTACTGATGGTCAGATGACATGCAAGTAAACAAATACAATATTTCATATTTTTTTAATTTTTTAAAAATTGTATTTATTTGTTAAATTATTAATTTGTTTCAATTAACATTTTTTATGATTTAATTAAAGTTATATAATTATGTGATTTATAAAGGAAATTATCAGAATAAATGTAGGATTTTATAAAGACATTATAATTGATAAATCTAAAATCATTTACGGTTCGTATTATATTATTATAAATTATTTATAATTGAAACAATCAGGATAAAATTGGAATTTTATGAAGGTGGTCAATATTTTAATTGATAAATCTATAATAATTCATGGTTCTCTGATGTTGATTAATGATCACATGATGATATGCAGGTAAACAAATAAAACATTTCATATTTTTTAGTTAATATTTTATTTTGATTGATTTTATTTTAAAATTATTTGTTTTAATTACCAATTTTATGAATGAATTAATTATAAATAATATAATTATAAGTGATTTATAAAAAAAAAAAACAATCAGAATAAAAATTTAATTGTACAAAGACAGTCATTATTATAATTGATAAATCTATAATCATAGATTCTCTGATGTTGAATAATGGTCACCTGACATGCAGGTCAACAAATACAATATTTCATACTTTTTAAATAAATATTTTATTTTTATCTTGATTTTTACAATTATTTATTTGTCTAATTAACATTTTATTTTGTAAATAAGTAATTTATAAATAAAACAGAATAAAATAATAATAATAAATTATTAAAATCAGAATAAAATTTAATTTTTTTAAAGACTGTCATTATTATAATTGAAAAATCTATTGTCATGTACTATGTGTACAATTAAAAATAGATTTTTCAATAGAAATGATTCCCATGATTCATATGTACAGAAAAAATCATCCATTGTTGACTTTAAACAGATGAGTGTGAG